TGACACGGTTACAGGTGGCTCTTGAAACCACAGTAAGAGATTCCTTTTGAGCGTCCTCACACTAAACTGCAGGTTTACCTGCATGTCTCTTTTTAAAAGTAGTGAGTTTAAAAGCGTCGCTGCACACCACAACAAACTCCCATCAGCAGTGAATGCAGATTAAATCAGCAGAAGAGGGGATATGAATGCACAGAGACATAAATGTATGCACAGCTATGCATTTTTAGGTGCACCCACCTGGTCAGTCACCGCAGAAAGAGGGCGTGGCTGACATTGTTTCCCGGCAACACAGATTCTGGGTATCTGATAAGACCACAGACTGGCCTTGAGTTATGATCAGCACTTTCTATAGGCAAAAGGGCCCATATGCATGTTATTATCCTATTAAAGAAATAAACTCAGGGTTCAGTTGGCCACAGTTAACTCCCCCCCCCCCCCTTCCCTCTGTATTTAATATTGATCTGTACCATAAATTTATAACGCTTGGATGTATCTCAGTCTGAAGTGGTGGGTAACTCAACTGTTGCAAATTAAAGGGTGAATGAACTTTTCCCTCATCTGTTTGTCTGCGCATGCACCGACACATGTGTGTCTATTTCTTTTTTTTTCTTTCTCCAATTTACCAAAAACATAGCTGCAGGTTTACAGTCTCAGAGATGTCTTTTGCGTGTGTGTGTCCCACACATGCATGTACACGCTTGTCTGTTTCAGCAAAGGTAATTATGTGTAAGTTATGTGTGCGTGCGGGGGGTTGGGTTTTTTTTTTTTTTTTTTTTTTTAAACACAGAGGGGTTGATAATTATGGGTTAAATGAGTGCTCTCAGTCAGCCTCCCTGAGTGTGTGTAAAAAAAGGAAGGCACAGCGAAAGCCACTTCAAGGCCGGCTAATTACCCCAAGGAAGAGAGGAAACATAAATGGACGATTTTGCGGCTATAATGTTACAGCAAAACGGCTAAATCAACCTCAGCACGTGAAACAGAGCCACAGCTACTTTTGAAGGCTCCTAGCAGCCCTGAGCACATGTGTGTATGTGTGCGTGCGCCCCATATGCGAAGGATCTGCCGAGAAGCAGAAGATGTGCGTATGTGTCTGTACGCAAACTGTATGTGAGTGTGATTTGTGTGCAGAAAAGTCACACTTGCTGAGTACTGATGTTATTTAACCTCTGCGTTTCTGTCCCAGGCGGTCTTTTTTCTGTAACGTGAAGAATCATGTAGAGTTTTGTTGGTGCTCATGAACATTCATTGCCTTACTTGTGGTTTTGACTCCTATTACAGGAAAAGTTTTTTTTAATGTCATGCAACCTTTTTACCAGCTATACCAGTTCTGAAACTTTTTCTAGTTTTCCCCCAACCAAAGGCCTCATCTAACCCTACAGTTCATATCAACCCTTGTGAATAAAAAGGACCCAAATTCAATTTTAGTGAAGAGAGAGAGAAGAAAAAAAAAATCAGCATGCTATCTTTGCAAACTCTTGTTTATTTTCCCTGCATAAATCACATTCATTCGACACAGCGCTCCATGTTTTTCCACTAGGTCATCCAGGCAGTAGTTTTACACCCGGTGCAGTTTGAGAACCTCCGCATTCTTATGCCACTCACCGCCGGTGCCAGTTGCATCGTTTGGGGATTTTCCCTGCAAAATGTCAGTGATACTGCTGAATGTGAAGAAAAAATGCAAAAATAAATTGCTTCCTTTTCCTTGGATAGAGTTGTGTGTCGCTCATAAAACGGTGTTGATAACAAGAGACGATTTATGCAAATCAACCACATCAATAACTTCACAGAGAGGCGACATCGAAGAACATTGATCATCTTATTTGAATGCAAAGTTCTGCTGGGAAACCTTGACGTTCATCTGACATGTGGACTCATCATTGTCATTGAAGAAAAGCATTGCCTTACAGCAGAGGACTTTGTTTAGCTCGACAGGGCGCCCTGCCGCTTCACAAAGCACATTTTTGCAATTTTCTTGGCTGGTTCGTTGTAAGATCTATGACAACGCAGCTTTTCTTCAATGCAAAATATTATTTTCTAAATCAAAAAATTACAGTTTTTTCCAAATTGCAGAAAGTTACCGCTCCCATCTCTCAATGAAACATCTGAAAATAAACACCGAACAAAAGGAACTGCATCAGATTTACAGAACAAAACAAATCTCAGGTACTTACATTGTATTCCAGTATATTTATAACATAACAATCTAACGGGACATTGACCCTTTTCACTTTTTTTGGTCATCTCCATAATTTCCTCATAACTGCTTCAATCCATTGCTCATACCGAGGCTGCTGGCTTGTGGCTGCCTCACAGTACTGAATAGTTTTAGCTTTAGCTAAAGAGGTCGAGGGTGATTTAAGTGTCTGATTAGGTTTGTTGTTACAAATAATTTGCGTGGTGGTTCCCCCTGTGGATTACTTTGGCGAACTTTGCTGTGAGTGAACTTTCTTCGCTCACAGTGAGGAGTTTCCACGCTAATGACATGTGGGCGTGTGACCATGAGCACACACGTGACTACTTCTCTGCACCGCAGTGCGCGTGTTGCAGACCGGCAAACGGACATAAGGGAGTCTGACCAGCACAAGCCGAGAGTAGCAGGAAAAGACAGAAAGCAAAAAGTTTTGACTCAGCCGTCAGACGCCTCAAATCACGATCTCTTTTAACAACCGGAGGATTCGTCACAGTGCAACCCTCAGCGCAGTCCAGATCTATCCGGTAGTTGGCTGGGGTTTGTAACAGTGTGGCTGATTGGTGTTTCTGGGAATGAAAACGCCATCAAAGCAGCAGAAGGGTCATTAAAAGACAGACGTTTGAGAAAATCTGACCCCAGTGAGTCATAAGAAGTAGAATGCCTTAATGGAGATTTTTAGCATTTAGAAAATGTGGAAAAGAACACAAATTAATAATTTAACTTACATGTGGCCTGCCACATTAAACTAAAAAAACAATTGCTTGCCAGAAGCAATTTTTTGTATCCGCGTCTGTCTGTTTTGTTTCAGAGTTACTTTCTTGTTCCCATCAATGTGAGTTTCCCATCTCTAACTTGAAAGGGCCAATGCAGTCACCTCGTTTGAGCTGATGCAGTGTTAATGTCCAACCTTCACAATACCAGCTGTGCAGACTTCTGTGTTTTCACACATCCATCCTGAGCTGGCGAACTGCAGACAGTCCCCTTTCTGTCTTCGACCCCACGTGATTAACCACATGACATGCAAACCAGCAAGGCGATGCAGCTCCCCTGCCCATCTTCATTGATAAAATACTGGTCTGCCGGTACTCAGTGTTTAACGCCTGCTGATTTCATTCTCTTGCCTTTGTTCTCGGCCTCTAAGGTGATGAAAGAGGCTTTTTGTACAATCCTTAAACCACGAGGTTTGTCCTCCGTCTCACTGTTTCTTCAGATCATTATGAATGCAGGTCATATTATCACCACATTTCACCTTCCTACTATGCTACCTGCTCCCCTGCACTTCTTCCCACCCACCATCACCATCAGCAGCCCCATCCTCACACCTCCCCTTCGGCTCTTGAGAACAGAAGCAGCCAGTTTTGTTTTCACGGCATTAAAAAGCGGTGTAGCAGTTTGATCTGAGCTCCGCTGCCGGTCGTGCAGCATACACATGAGGGTCCGTTTCCACACATGTGTGTGCACACGCGTGTGGTCAGTGCGAGTCTTTAAGATGCTGATTGATCGGAAAGGAGCGGTTTAAAGTGTGTGTAAATGTGCAGTGTAGCAGTGTGGAAGCTCTGCCTTTAAGTGATAAGGTGCTCGCTTTGTAACTCAGTGGGGGTCTAGCGAGCAGCAGCAGATCTGGCCTTCTGCACTGCTGATTTTACACACTTCACACACAGTGTCCAAAATAAAATCGCTTGGAAAACTTCTCTCTCTTTTTTTTTTTAATGTTCGTGCCGAGGAAAATTAGTGCCTCTGCAGAGCCTCACATTTACACACATCCACCTGCTCGCAAACACACTGATACTCACACCGAACGGCACTATTTAAACTCCCCAAGAAAACAATACCAGTCCACACAGGGCCTGCTTCAAATGAATGCAGTGAAATTCTGTCCAAGGCTGGCCGCTTAGCTGCTTCCAACTTTGCAAACCGCTGTGACATATCGTATGTCAGCTAGCATGCTGCGAGCATTAGTAATAACTGGATTTCACGTAAGTTATTGAAAGCCATTTGTAAACAGAGACATGAAAGCAAACAAGCTCACACGCAGCCTCACTTGATCATCAAAGACTTATCGATCAAATAGTCCTCCTCCTGCACCTCCTCCTCCGCCTCCCCGCTCCACTGAAAACCAGTGTGAGCGAAGTACGGCCCATCTGTTTTGTTCCAAACCGTGTTTAAAATGTCCAGCTTTCTTCCTTTTCTTTCAGTCTTGGATGAAGTATAAGTGCACGCAAATCCCCCCCAAAATTCGGAGACACTTAACATTTGCATCTTCTTCCATCAGTGAATTATTTAAGAGGAGAACGCAGATTTTTTTTTAAATAATTCTTTTCATGTCTGGTTGCATCTTGTTATTTCTTTTGTAAGCAAATGAACGAAAGGAAAACTCGTGTAATTGCAAAGCTCTTTGATCGTGCTCAGCAGCGTTGGGCCGAACGGCTGATTCTGAATCTTAAAATCTCAAAATGCAGTTTGCAGACATTATTTGTAATTGGAATAATAAAGATTCTGTGATCAAATTAAGATACATCTGGTTTTCCTGACTTGATTCCAGACAACTTGATTAGCCAAACTTAAACAAATACTTTTGGGTTTTTTTTCCTTTTCAATTGGTGTATCTTAGATTGTATCATCCTGGGTCTCTTTTATGTCTGTCACATGCAAAAGTCTTTATTTTTGCTTGGAAAATGTGAATTGTGCAAAATGTTCTAACATAAGGCAAAAGCAGTTTTTTGTACTTCTCAGGCTTCTTGAAGGATATTCAAAGCTCTTCTTTTATCTGAATTAATTTGTGTTGTTGTTGTTGTCGTCTCATCAACAGTCTAACAAAGTCTCGGTGGTACAGCAGTCTCACGGGATGCACCCGCTGACCTCCCTCCTGCCCTACAGCAACGATCACTTCAGCCCGAGTTCTCCTCACCTGCCCACAGACATGAGCCAGAAGACAGGTGAGAGCACACGTAGACACCTAGTATAGAAACATTGTGCACATACTGTTAGTGGAGGCTTGCACATGCAGACGCAGCTAAACAGGCGTAGTTTTGGAGCTCAGTTAGATTTAAAAAGTCTCTCTACACAAGTGCAAGTAAACACAGACGTTCCTGGGACATCTGCCGAATAGTCGCTGAAACCTCGGTCCGCATACACACTGTTTGTGCTGTTGACACATCATTTGTCACATCTGTGCAGATGCACCACACACACGTTTGTCACTTCACCAGAAGCACACACGAGAAATGTAATATTACAAATTTAATGCAGTAATATTTTTGCGCACTCCCTCTTTCATATGCACGCACACAGTATTTCTTTTTTGGCTCCCCCACCTCGCCTGGAACATGGACACACATAGAAAGACACAGGCACGCACTCTGTGTGTGAAGTGGCAGCATCAGCTCCGTCAGCCTGTGGCGGTCTCATGGCTTCTCTGAAGTGGCCTGCTCTTCTGAAGGGACAGCCAGCCACACACACACACACACACACTCACACAAAAAGATGGAAACAATTAGGGTGACAATCGCACAAACCATTGCAGCAGCGCACACAAGGTTCTCCTTAGCAAGCACTACACATACAAACACACACTCTCCTCTGTTTGGAAGGCACAAACAAACACACCCTGGCATTTAAAACACTATCGGGTTTTGGACCTGCCTGTGGCAGGGCCTGAAGGGTGGCACAGTGGGTTTGTGCAGCATTTCGCTTTAGTGCGAGATGTCACAACTACCGACCACGTTTGCTGAACGTGTTCCCCAGAAGATGGCTCATCAAGCTCCTCAAAAGTATGCAGGTTACTGGTGATTTCCTTTTTATTTTAAACACGCTATGTGGATTAACGAGTTTATGCAATTGCAATGCTTTTTGTTCTTGTGCAACCTCGCTGGAACGGTGAATACTCTTGTTAAAAATAGCCAAAGCTTAAATAAGGTCCATGTGAGCCATGTGAGCTAAGCACTCCTATTACTCCTGTTAACGCTCATTTTTTTAAATAAAAAATTGCCTCTGCATGAAATCAGTGATTGGTGATTTCATGGATGAAGACTCCAGAAACCTGCCGTTCAGGCCTTTAGCCAATCAGAAGAAAGTTGTCTTAAAACAGCTTGTTTCTGACACAGTGAGAACTGATGCACCAAGGGCAAACATTAAGATAAATAAGCATTATTCTGACCCTCGAATCATGCAAAGCTACTCTGCAGTGCTCTTTAACCTTACAAAGGGAGAGGAGGAGAAATGCAGAGTTCTCACACATGGTGGCTGACTAAAGTCGTGATCATGTATGTCAGTGGGGGAAACTTACAGAGAAATGAAACTATAAGAAAATTTATTTAGTTATTATTTGATGTAATTCTGTGGTTTCTTGGTAAAGTGTGAGTACCGCTGGAGATAGAAGTTTCAGCTCACAGTAACAACCAGACGCTCATATGAAAACGAGCCTGTGAACGAGGGGTGTGAAGAAACCTAAATATTTCTTTTTGTTTGTCGTGTTTGTGTTAATGATCCCCTGTGAACAAAGTAAGACAAAAATTATAATGGTGACATGTGCAGAACACAGCAAAAGGTGCTAAAAAAAAGATCGACATGCAGTGTAGCTATCCCACGGTTCAAAGAAGTTACAGTTTAATGCTGCTGAGAGCCTTAAAATTGTCGTCCTGATGTGGAGATATGAAATCCAGTGGTCTTCAAGCGCTGCCTGGTTTTTCCTCAGGAAATCATTTATAAACTCTCTGAAGTTTACAGAGTCTGTGCGAGATTCATTGAAGGATTTTGTCCTCTGTGGTGACGTCCAAGAGAGAACAGGAAAGAGGAGGAAACAGGCTGAGAGCGAGAGACGAGAGTGAAGAACAGACTGGAAAAAACACCACAGAGAACAAAAGTCTTTTATCGGCTCTGATTAGGTGTGAGACAGCGCGAGACCTCGGGCGATCTCCTGCCTGTTCCGTCTGGAAATCCCCCTTTTTCCTCCAAACACACTCCCGCTTGTCTGGCTTAGAGAGTCTGTGTGTCTTTGTGTGCGTGTGTCTAACACAGTGACTCAGCCCGTAATGACAGACTGAGCCACCTGTTTGTTACTTACACACACACAAACACACGCTAACACCTGGCTGCCACATCTAACCTTTCTCAGACCATCTCACCTGAATTATTTTGGCTACGCTTCCACAGAGGAACACCGTGGTGCATGCATACGCACGCCACCTTACCTCACTTCTTTTTTTGTCTGTCAGCTGATCACAGGTTCGGGGGTTACCTCACCAGTGATGTCAGTGATTGGTGCACCTTTCTTCCTCTTTGCGCGTTGCTTAAAGGGGAAATAAAGGGACCTGAGCTATTTCTTTGGTTTTAGTGCTTGGTCTCTGGAGGCTTTTTTGGCCTTTGACCCTTCATCTTTACACGTGTCTATTAAGCCTACATTGCAGACACGGACAGCTGGCACGCCCCAGGAGTCAATCCTGTTATTCTAGGTGTTTGTGTAGTTGGTAAATGTTAAAGCAAATTCTTCCCAACAAGTCTGCGCAGTCACAAAAAGCAGGAACACACATTGATGTATACTCGAATCCTCCCACTAACCGCCTGATAACATTTACCTAAGCAGTCCCAAGTGGACTTGCACAGCAAAAGTTTAACCCATGCTTAAGTAATTTAATCACAAAGTGCTACTTGCTATGTACAGATGTTTGCTTTCCCCTTGAGTTTTATCATTGAAGTTGACACGAGGAGGATAGCAGTGTGCCAGAATCTGTCGTTTTTCTAAAGAATACGTTTTGGCAAAATCCATTTCCTTTCTAATATCTCGACAGCTAAAGTTACCCGCATCAATCTGGTGGAGGATTTCGTGACACTAGCACTGTAACGGAAGTGTCAGATTGCAAACTTTTCTCAAGTTGACTCCTATAATCTTGGTCACCTGTGCTCGGTTTGTGTCAGACACAAACATGATTCATGCTTTGGACTGTCAACATGGTATCCTCACCTCAGTTCAATCATCAGTCCAGTCATTCCAATATTTAAAATCACAGCTGATGGAGGAAAATAACACCAGCCTCGACGAGGGGGAAATAATGCATTGATTTTCATGCTGTGGCTGCTTTTGGAGTTTCTGTTTTCTGGGTGAAAAAGCGTTAGGGATGGGGTTACCTGCCACCCAGGTAAGTTTGTAGCATGTTTAATAGAGTATAAAATCCCGGCCTTCAACGTGTGCTAGTATGTGGGGGTCCATTTGGGTCGGGCTGACATAAATTTGAAAGTGAGGCTTCATGCGAACTTCCCCGTATTGGTCCGGTTTGAGACTACGCTACAAGGGCAGCAACGGTGCATGCATTCTCCAAGCACACACCAGCGAACGCAACTCTAAGTCCTCTGTGTGTCTACAGTGCTGCATATAGCTCCTCTGTAACAAAGCCTTGCATTACATGGAAATCTTTATTGATAAATCAGAGGTGAAACACATTAGTCCACTCAATAGCCTGAAATCAGCTGAGAAACTGGCTAAAAAGTGTCCTGCAGCGAGGCTGCATGTTGTCTTTGTGTTTACCCATGTATTTCTGGAGAGTTTATGCAAAAACACACTTGTGCCTGACTGCTTATCCCCTGTGAAATTGTTTTATTGGCATCACAGAACGTGCAGGCCCACAGCAAAACCTCAGTAATATAAAACAGGTAGCCGATAAGATAAGACGTATATTATCTATCCTGAAGGCTGGAAAGCTTCTGTGCTACAGCAGCCAAACCACTGAAATAGCTTAAATGAAAATGACACAGCTCAGTAAATATACAATAAGACATTAAGATGAAAATTACACAAAAGAGAGAGAAGCTCAGTTAAACAACGAGGTCATTTATACAAAACTCTGTTTATGTTTTTTTTATTTTGCTTTTAGTTGAACAATTAACAAATTATGGTTACAAATTTCCTCTGGATTTCTTGACCTTAAGATGACTTTGCTTACTCTCCAGGCTTCTGATTGTTATTGCGTCATCTGCATCACTTCGAGTAAAAGGTCAGGAAGGAAAGAGCTGTGATTACAGTTTTTTTAAATTTATTTAATCAATCACCTACTTTGAATCTTTCTTGTGGCCTTGGGCCTTTCTTCAGAAGCACCGCACCATCGACGTGTGAAAGTTCATCTTTCCTGTTGTTGTTCTGCTCTTTGTGACATCATTAGAGGCAATAAGAAATTCCCGTGAGTGGACGTCAATGTTAATGACAAACATCACAATACTTGTGGGTTTATTTCTGTTTTGTTTTTGTTTTTTTGAAACAGTTAAAGATATAAATGTTCTTTTTTTAATATCCTTTATTGTACACAGAGCCTACATCTGTCATTTATTCTCACCACACAGTTTACTTCCTCTGTTATTTCCATCACCACCCACTGTCTGTTATTCACTGCTGCCTAAATACGGAGTTGCCTTACCTTTAGCTATATTTCAACTTTACAACCCCCTTAATTTTCCCGTTAATTTCCCCTAAAGTAATGCACATGTTGCATCATCTTTCTCATAGCATGTTTCACTTCTTTTATTCAGTGTATTAAAATTGGCCGTTAAAGTTGTCAGCAGAAAACTTAGCGCGGGGGAAATACTTACTTGATCCCCTGCTGAATTTATAAGTTTGCTCACTCACAAAGAAATGATCGATGTCTAATTTATTTTATGGTAATTCCATTTTGATGAAGAGAGACAGAATATCAATCAAAAATAAATTTAAAAAACATAAAAGTTATAAATTGATTTGTATGTCAGTGACTGAAATATGTATTTAAGCCCCTACAACCCAGACACAATTCTGGCTTCTACTGACTGCCTGTGTGGCCCAGTGGAAAACATATTACAATCATTTGATCAGTCATCAATTACAGAAAGCATAAAGCGCTTTTTTAAAATACAGAATCAATTTCTCCCATTCTAATCTCTCCACCATCATGTCCAAGACCAAAGAGCTGTCAGA